TTTTCTCTTTTTATTTCTCATTCACACCTTGCTAAACTCAACATTAAGCACTATAATAAATTTGAGATTATATTTATCCATCATTAGGTTCAGTGGCAGGGTCAGAATTTTCAATAAGGGGGTTCAAATCTGTAGAAGTAGACACATGAAGTAGCCGAAGGGGGTTCGACGTCTACTATATATACATAAAAAAATATTTTAACCATGTATAATTAATATAATTTTTCGTCGAAGAGGGTTCGGATGAACCCCTCAGTACAAGGTGGCTCCGCCCCTGGTTAGGTTATGATAATAGCTAAAACTAATATAAATCTAATATCGAAATCTTAGAATAATCTATTTCATATATAAAAAGTGAGATTACGACTGAAATTATAATCTCAAAAATTTAATTATGAAATAACCTTGTTTTGAACTAGATGAGTTACAACATGATAATACTTTTTTCTTAATTACGTATAAGAATTAACATTTTTTTTCCTAAGAATTATATTCAAATGGAGGAGCGATACCTTATCCCTTGAATAAAATGTAAAGAAAATTTGTGGAATAAATTGTATATATGAGCAAAGAAAGCTGTATATATATAGTTCATGATGGACAAAAATCTTTAAAATTTATTGAAACAAAAATGATGAGTGTTAGCTAGCTAGCAACAATAATTATTTGAATGGAAAACAAACCAAAATAAGTCGCACGCATATTAAGATCAATAAAAACAAAAATCTACTAATCCACTAGAAAAAAAAAGAGAGAAAACAAGAAAGATAATTAAATCAGTGGATAAAGTCAACAACTTTGATAATAATCACATGATTATTATATTATAAAGTATATATGAAACATTTTGAAGTTTTGTGTTAAACAATTATGACCCTTAATCGTTTTGCGATAATATCAAATAGTAATGGGATTAAACTATAGTATCATTTAATTTATTGTTTAATTGACAAGTTCAGAATAACTTATCTCGGGATTAATAATTAGTTTTGGGACAAGTTATCCCTCCCCTTGGGTGGTATAGTAATCCCGAAATAACTTATCCCTGGATAAAATAGATAAATGACAAAAATGCCTCTTTCAACCCTTTTGTTACATCACTTTTTACATCCATGAAGGGAATTTTTGTAAACAAATAAATTGTTCTTAAAATTTATTATTTTGATTACAACAAACCAACCACTCAATAAAAAATAGTAAAAATTAGGCAAATGACATAGTATAAGATAGAAATTACTTTCTTTCCCTATTCTTTCATTAATTACCAAAAATCCCTTTTTTTAGTGTTTTTCGGATACATAATATAGCAGTGTGGATACTTAATATAGCAGCGCGGATACTTTAATTAATAACGGACGGATACTTAAATTATTAAGTTGTTAGTAGCACAGATACTTAATTAACGGGCGGATGCATAATATAACAGCGCTGATACTTTAATTAATAACGGGCGGATACTTAAATTATTAAGTTGTTAGCAGCACGGATACTTAGTTAACGGGCGGATGCATAATATAGCAGCGCGGATACTTTAATTAATAACGGGCGGATACTTAAACTAATAAAGTATCCGGTTAAGTTGAATTGGGGGAAAATAAGGGATTTTTGTATTTTAGTAAAAGAGTAGGGAAATATTGAGAATAGGTAAAGAAGTGTTGTGTATTTAAGTAATTTTTCCTAAAAAATAATCCATCATAACTAATTTCATTTTAATTTATCCTATTATAATTAATTCCATCATAACTTGAATTCAAATCGAAATAATATTTGAGGAAATGTACGGACAAAATTTGTTTTCCCATGTTACATGTCCCTTAGATAATTTAATTTGCATAATTATTGATCGAGACATTATAGATAAGAACGTATTATGTTTTTTTTTTTCAATTTAGAGTCGCTGTGTTTACTACTAATTAAAATAGTATAACAAAATGTCATGAAAAATATTCCTTTTTTTGTTTTTACTTCTCTCTAATCACAAGTCTACCTTAGTCGAGAGTAGTCTAGAAACAATTTATTTATCTTCATAATATTGAGCAAGGTTTATGTATTCTTTATTCATATCCTATTTGTGAGACTGCGGTGGATATCTACAATCTCACCGCGTGAAAACTTTTGGGAGAATTGATTTGTAGGCTACTTACTATTTTTTTTTTAGTTTTATGTCATTTTTACTACAGATATTAAAATGTCATTTTCTTCTATTCATTTTATAAATTGCCAAGAATTCTTATTTCCTTAAAAAAAAATTAAAGAAAGAAAGAAAGAAAATATATTAATACTAATAAGAATTAATTAGCTTCCTTTGTTTCTTCCTAAAAAGAAGAGGAAAACTAAAAATAAGAACCAAGATGCTTTTTTTTCTTAAATATTTATATATGTTGCAAAGCTTCCAACAAGAGTGGATAAGAGTAAGCCGCTGTATTGTGGTTAAGCCCCAATATTTGCAATAATACAAATTAAATAAACCTGCAACTTTTTTTTTAATTATTTTTTCCACTAGCAAACTATAATTCTTTCTTTGCTTTGCTTATTCTAATTATTAATTCAGTGCACCAAAAAAGAACAATAATTAATAGTAATAAACCAAAATTGTAGTATAGTTTTTAGTGAGGAAATTAGGAAGAAAGTACAAAGCACGAGTTTCTACATTTTAAAAATAATACTAATATTTTATGACTTTAGAAAATAAATACAAAATAGCCTTAGGTTTTTTAAAATATCTTCATGATGTGAACTATAAACTATTGATTGTGACCATTAAATACATCGTATACCTCCTAGATTTTCCGCAGTATAAATTTATTTATTTGTTAATTAAACATGGGAGAAAATAAAATAGAACTTTGGTGGCACTTAAATATATTTCAAAAAAATCTAACTTAAATTCTTAGAATATTTTAAACTTATTACGAAATCTTATCTTCTTCAAATGACGTAAATTTAACTTATTTTGAATAAATGTGTAATTAAGTGATGAAATAACTAAAAAAAAATATTGGAAAAATTGTGAATATTTACGAGCAAAAGGATTCAAAGTACATAATTCAGTTAAATTATACCTGCTTAATCAAATATCACAATAACCAATACAAAATCCTACGAATAACTGAGGGACTACAATTATAATTAATTAATTAATCTATCAATATCTTGAATAAAATTTATTCCGTCAATCAAATATAACATAAATTTTATTTCAAGCTTAATCTTGAGATATTTCATTTTATCCCATCAAGTAATTATGATCTCAGACTTATGATCATAATAATTTAATTCGCGTACCAAACGATTCTTGAAATCTAATTAGATAGGGCAAAGACACGTTAGGGTGCTTGATCTTAAAAGTCATTTCATGAGGCAAAAATGTCAAAAAGAGAATAAATTTTCCACTAATGTTACCTCCTATGGCTATATGGCTAATGTAATTATGATGATCCGGAGTTTCTTACAGAGACAATGTCACTAATTGTTCAAATTATTAGTAACAAAATAATCCTAAAGTAGAGAAAAAGCTATACTTTTTCCAATAGGAGATTACTTGCTTTTTGAAGGCTATAATTACTTCTTACTTTGGAGGTTGGAATAATGTATGGTGGGTTGTTGAAAGCCACTGATTTAGGTATATTGTGCTTAATTTCTACTCACTTTTGCATTAAAATATCTAATTTGATACTATAATCCATCATTACAAATTGTCACTAAATGTAAAAGAGTAACAAGTGAGGAAACATATGATTAAGATTTTTTTATCTCCTTTTTCCTTGGAATAATAAGCTTCCAATCTTGTCATATTTGATTGACATACAAAGAAATATGTTTTACTTTGCTAACATGAGAGGCAGATTAAACTTTAACTGATTTTTTTTATTTGGCATCATTACTCTTTTGATAATCTCTTTTTATATATTGAGTTGTGAGACATTTAGAAACAAACACTCTATCAGTATTTATATGTGAGTTTATATTGGCTATGTTGTTATTGTTATATTTTGATTACGTGATATATATGAAGGATTAAAATGATCACCTTTTTTTTCATACATTCAATACTATTTTGATTATAAAGAACTAAGATAATCGTGTTTTTTATACATTAAAAACCATTTTAAGTATATGATATATATGAAGGATTAAAATAGTCCGCCCCCTACAATAAGAACCATTTAGATAATTTTCTCCGGCATAATACTAAAGAGAATTTCTAACCATTCTAAGCAATTCACAAAAAATTAAAAACCATAGTTTGAGAACACTTGACCTCCTAATATATATATATACTTTTCTCATTAAATTAAGTTATAATACATCACAAAACAGCTTAAGTGAACATTCCATGAATCTATCTCAAGATTCAAGACACATAATGCACCGGCAAAGGAAATACATGCAAAATTTCCTCAACTTAGCACAAGGTATAACAAAATAATTAATCATAATTTCTTTTTTAAAAAAAAGTATAATATGTAATGACTTGGCAATGGTAAAGTACGAATATTTAGCTTTAACTCAATCAGTCAACCATAAAAACTAGCTCATAAACAAAAATTTTGCGACTATTCATCTCTTTATAATCCAAAAATGAAACTCTTGATAACAAAATGTAAACTAGAAATGTTCACATCTTTCCTTTTCTCTTCCTCTAAAATCTTCTCCTCCCACTCAAGTAGAAGTTCAAATTAAAATTAAATGAGCACAATTCTTTCCAACAAAGAGCATTAATGAATAAATGAAATTTATTAAAAGAGGACCAAATTTATTTAAAACACATTTCTTCAAAAATAACCAAAAGTGGCCCCAATGTTTGTTGAGTTGTCTTCATCCACCGCTACAACGATAATATACTCAGTGTGATCCACAAGTAATATCCGAGAGAGTAGAATGCAAAAAGACCTTATCCCTAATTTGTAGCTAGAAAGATATTTCTGATAGACGTTCCGCGATAAAACTGTGAAACAAATATCATAATGAGAAACTAAAAACTTTGCGATCAAATGCTCTTAATAACCAAAAGTTTATTGTAGTAGAAAAGTGAAGAACAGGTACAGTACTACAGTTAAGCAAACATGGCTTCCTAATTCCAGAAAAACAGGGAATAGGCAGAGTAGCTCTGTACATTCATAGGTAATTAACACTAATACTCATTCACCTTTGCGATATTGTAGTAGAAACTATTACTCCATAGATTTTTATTCCTTATGATCCAACAAAATGTAACAGTTTTCAGAAGGCTTTGATACCGATTCGTTCATATTTTTCTGGTTCTGATTCGGCTAACCTCTGTTTTTCGAAGAAGGTTTGGTTCTTCTTTATGAACGCTTCAATTGTAAGCCGGAAGTCTTCGTTGCTCAGTGTGTCAACTGCCTCTACTGGCACTGTTGATTGTTTATCGCCAGGACGGACAACTATCCTGCGCATTTCAGTTTCTGAACGCCGGAGCTCTCGCCGTGGATTTGCCGTAATTTGTCGCTTCAATTTCTCAGATTGAGTCCTTTTGAACTTCTGTATTTGCTTTGTTGCTGTATCAATTGCTGTGGCCATATCGTTGCATTGTATCTCCGGAACCTTATACTCCGATGAAACGATCTGCTTATCTTCCATTGTTGAGACCGGTGTCTCCGGCAGTGAAGTAGAGGATAAATCCAGCACATCGCTGCTGCAGTAGGAAGCAGAAATTATCGATCGTTGATCTTCGCTGTAAGGAATTTCATCGCTATCAATATCATCAGTAACAGAATTGTTGCTTCCGGCGTCAGTTTGGCGGCGGAGCACGACTATTGCAACAATAATCGCATTGCCGATGAAAAAAACGACGTGAGGTTTAAACAAATAACCAGAAATCTGAACCAAAAATTCGCCAGATAATTTCACAGCCGCCGGAATACGATACCAGGACCAGAAAATCAAAACAACCGCCACAATCACTTCAAAAATTTGTAGCATCTTCATCATATTCTGAAACCGATTATACCTAGAAATTGCCTTCTCTTTCTCAAATTTCACACTATCAAACACTTCGTTATCCATTTTTTAACCGCTTAGATTTAAAAATCGAACAGTCACAATTCTACGGAAAATCCTCTAGGCTTCCAGCGAGCGGTTACAGTCGTTTTCTGAAGGAGGCGGAGGTTCAGAAAAAGGATAACGAATGTTTGTACGGAAAGGAAAATCAGATTTTCCTGGAGAATTGGGAGGGAAAATTGAAAACAAGGAAAGGAACTTGAATAGAAAATCGAAGAAGATTTGATACGAATGCAAAAATATGCATAAGGAAGTAGATTCAGAATTCATGTACATAGAAACACACAGTGATACACCACCGGAAAAAACACACAGTTCGCCGGAGAAAATAGTTGACGGTTTCTTCTTCAGAATATGTGAATTCAAGTTTAAATTTGGTATGGCGAATGAGGACTCGATGGATGGATCAGATGTGTAGGGAAGGCGCCTCATTATATAGGCGTAGCCCGTAGGGTCTAATTTTTTAAAATAATATTATTATTTTTTAAAAAAAATGTTGAAATTTGTTATGGCAATAATGAGTGAATTATTTAAATTTTGTAATAAACAGGGATACCGGTGGTGGGAATTGTAATTAGTTTTGTTTGTAGATTAAGATGAAAAAATTGATTAAATTTGACATGGTCCCCCCAAAAGATTCTATTTTTTGCTAGGTTTCTCCCTCATTGGTGTTGTTCTTTTCTCTTATGTTAAGATTTCATGAACGAGTAATGATAAAATTATCTTTACATTTAAGTCATAGTATTAAAATAAATTATCTATAAGTTTTATGTATACGCGAAACATTTTATACACTGAATAATTTGAGGGAGGGAAATTCTTTTTTGATCAATCGTTTGGATACTCCATAAATTGAGTCTAATATTTTGTTTACACCAAATAAAAGAAATGAAAAATGGAATATAACTTGATATTTTGACCATGTGCTTGTCTCAATGGACCAAGTCATAAGAATAAAGTACTAAACATTTTGAAATTGGTACAATTCTCCTCTTGTTCTAGCTAATATTTCGAATATTTTGGTACATAAAATCTTTTGGGGTAAACAACTTTCCATTATACATGAAACTCGAAGATTTTTTTTGCTTTATTTGAATGTATAATTAAGAGTTTTCGTTTTAACGAAGTTTTTATTATTTTTTTTAAAAGAATTACTGTAAATCGAAATCAGGAGGAACTCTATTTTTTGTAAGTGTTCAAAAATCCAAATAATGTGTAATTTATTTATCAAGAACTCTTTTTTTTTTTTTTTATTGTGTATTCTAAAATTGAGAACTCACATTTTTTTCATCTTTTTATTTTGTTTTCCGCTTTGAATTGGGTTTCCTTGAACCAAAGGCATATGAGAAAGAGAAACAATCTCTCTACCTCCGACTTTTGAGATAAGGCGTAAAGTTCACATTTACTTTATTCTTTTCATATTTTATTTTATAAAATTACGTTAAATATATTATTATTGTTATTTTAAAACTCATTAATTCAAAATATTTGCTCCGTGTCTGCTCGAAATTACATGGTAAAGTAAAATGAACTATGGGAAAGTGATGATAAAAAAGTAGGAAGTACTATTTGTAAATGTGATGGAGATATTGATATGTTGTATTGTTGTTGATCCAAACGTAAACTTTAATCCCAAAGAACGTGAACGTGGTGCATGGGTTACTCATGATTTATAGTTGAAAAGAAGGAGAAAAAGAAAAAAATTCTAATTTTCTCCGTTCAATTTATTTATCTTATTTTTTTAATTCTATTTCAAAAAAAATATTTCATTTTGTTTTGCAAATTTAATTTCTAACGTGACATGTTTAAACCATGATATTAAAAAATATTTTAATATATTTGGCATATAAGTTCTTTTACTTTTTAAAATAAAATAAACAAATTAAAACGGATCAATTATTCGAAATAAATAAAAAAAGGACAGAGACGACAAGACTAAAAGCTCGTGTGGCTATCTCTTTGCCTAAATTTCATAACAACTCTAATCACGTGCGATTCGTACACTTATTTTTTTTGGTTTTTATAAGTTTAATTTCTGCAGCAATTATAGATTTTGGTATCGCGTGACTGCCTGCTCCATTTTTCACTGTACCAAAAACTACCTGACATAACCACAAATTCACTCCTTCTTAGTGTGTTTGACGGAGTTTAATTATTCCAACTATACGCTACTAATATGGATCGATTCAGTCTAGCTCGATTTAACTTATACAGATTTTGAAATTTGATGATTGAGACGTACTTGGGAGTGAGTAGGTCTGCCTTTTGGAAAAACCTTAAATTAGTCGATGAAACTCGTGACTAATTATATATATATTTTTTTGGTAGTGTTTTTCTTGACGAAACGCAACTTTCCTGTTAAGGTAGTGAATTTAAGTTGAGCTTATGATATTTATGATTTTTCGCAAATTATTTGAGCTATGAAAATTACATTTTGTCATATACTCCTTCCATTCCATTTTACGTGAGATAGTTTGACTCGGCACGAAAGTTAAGAAAAAAAAAAAACTTTTAAAACTAGTGATTTAATATGAACGATAAAAATTTATGTGTTAAATATTTAAAAGTTAAATTATTATACTACAAATGAATGTAAGTCGTATAATGAGTAATTGTTAATAACAAAAGAAAAAAGTTAACTTGAACCAATAATTTCCTTTTTGCAAATTGGTATTTTACAATCAATAACTTCCACATATTTCAAAATTCATTTTTTTTATAATAGTGAGAAAAGGCTAATTCTGTATTATTAAAAGAGGAGCAAAGCAGTTGATAAAAGTTAGAGAAGAGTTGTAATAGTAATAAATCCCACTATATTTAACTTTAGGAAAAAGTAGAAAGAGGGTGGGGCTGCACGCGATTCCTGTTGAATTTTCAAAGAATATAAATTTGTCACCATCTTGTTTTGCTTTTCCACATGATCTTTTCTTTTGTCTTTCTGCTGAAATTATTCATTTGAGATGAATGAAATGAATCTCATATTGATGAAAGACGAAAATACGAGACTGTTTGAGCATTTTTTCTCTTTTTGAATTAGATTTTAATATGTGAGTTAGGCCCAACCTAATTTGACATGATATCAGCACTTCTATGAGTCTATGATAGTGTGGGAAATATGCTCATGGTTCTTGAATGTCACGTTTGAATCGTACAGTGAAATTCTAGATAAAAGAATATTTGGACCGGGGCGTGGGGTGAGTTAGGCCCCAACGTAATTTGACATGATACCAGAACTTCTATGACTATGTTGGGGAGCGAGTTATGAATATACTTATGGTTTTTGAATGTCACGTTTGAATCGTACAATGAAATTTCAAATAAAAGAATATTCAAATCAGAGTGTGGGGTGGGGTGGGGGGTTTATGAGAATGAGTCTCATTAGACTGGGATGATCAGAACCTTGGGTTGCTTATAAGGCTTGAACAGTTCTCCCCCCCTTTTAACTAATTTATAAAGTGGGAGTTTGCTCATGAGCAAATGTAGATTTTGGAGCGTGTGTAAAAACCTTTTTTACACTACTCTCTTTGGTCGACCTTTAATCTTTTCTTAAGAAAGAAAAAAGGGTTTTCATGGATAGGATTATTGAACTTTAGCATAAACAACTACTTTTTGTTGTTACTAGTATGTGAAAGTGTTTAAAAGTAAGTAAGCCTTAAATGGGATATTCTTCTTTTAGGTACCAAAAGAACAATCTCAGCCAAGCTTAATGTGATTCCTTTCACCAACTAGTACTGTTTTTGATATTTGCTTTAGAATTATAATGATCAAGAGCAATATGTGATTGCATTTAATTAATTAGAACGCATGTAGGTATCAAATTGTTGAGCTAAAATAATTCAAAAATACTCTTAACGTATATGATGAGATAATTATCTTCTTTAGACTAAATCAATCAACGTGAAACTTTTTCACACATCCAATATTTCTTCATCGTATTAAGTTCTACATGGCCCATTAGACATTAGTAACTATGACCCATCACTTGATCAACTTGTTTGCATATGAATTGTATGTCACTCTAAATATTGACTCTGATATTAATTATTGGGTTAAAATATTTTTTAAATGCTCTTAAATAATGTGATATTACTCTCTTTGAACCTATCCCAAAAAACATCACATCATTAAAATTAATATTACACCAATTCGAACTTAATGTATATATTTTTCTTGCTATCAAGTTCTCATGATGTTTCTTTATCATTTCCTATACAATGTCAGTAACTTGCACGAAGCCTATTCTAAAGCTAATTTGATTTACAATGATATACAGAGATAAACATATGGTTTGAAGAGTATTTTCTAGAATAATATTTTAGAAACAAATAGTAGTATATATAGCATATAGGTCTAGGCGGCTTTGAAAGTCGCTTGTGGATCTCTTGGGATTGTTATCCTGATCTTCTAAGAAAATGAAAATAATGCAAACTATTGTTGTTTAACATGACTAATAATAATGGAATTTCCGTAGCTCAGTTGGCTATCTGAACTCTCACTTTGTTAGTGAGTATTCAATTCTCCACTTTATAATTCCCTCTCCATTTTCCTTTTCCCTACCTCTAAACTTTTTTATTATTTTTTTTAAAAAGTACGACTAATAAAGTCTTATATTTTTCATGAAATAATAATAATAATAATAATGAGTGTTTCGATATAATAATTTCGTCCTACAATACTATAAAATACTTGAAAAGCAAATGATTGGAAAAAAAGGGGTGGTGATGGAAATCGGATGGATAGAACACCTCTATTTATTCTTTATTCTTAATTAGAAGTTTTAAATTTCAACTTTTAATACGAAAGAAAAAACATATTAGTAAGCATTTTTTCTGCGTTAAATAAGTCTTACCACTCACCCAACATGAATTCGAATTAGTTTATTCAATTCAATTACTAAATACAAAAATATTGCTTTTTTAAGAAAAGCAAAAGGTTGGGGTCATAATCCTGATTTTAAGCTAACAATATCTCAAAATGCTAAGAAATGAGCGGCACTTAGAGCAACTTGGGTCAAGCCTTTCGGCAGTAATGATAAGAGACTGATTGAGAATTAGGTGAAGTTTGTAAAAAAAATAAAAAATTGTTTACACCCTTGAATTTAGTTAAAAGAAATAAATTAGTATCATTATCATGTCCGTCTCAATTTATGTTACTCACAAAAGTAAAAAAAGTGAAAAAAAAATTATTAAAATTTGTGATTTAAAACACTTTATGATTATTCGTACGTGTGACTTATAAATTATTTAATCAAATGATAAAACGAGAATTTTGACTAAGTTGTTTTAAAATTATTTTCTTAAAAATAGATTAGAAAAATGTATCGTATAAATTGAAGGAGAGTAAATATAGTTTATTGCCTCGAAAGGATGGCCTTCACTAATTGTTTAAAAGAGAAAT